GGGTGTCAGCCCCGTGGAACCCAGGGTGTCCAAGCCCGTCTGCCTTCAGCCCAGGGCGCGGTGCATGGCGAAGGCCCAATAGGTGGCCCATCGATGGGCACCTCGAGCAAGACCCCTCATGAGGCCCTGGCCTCCTGAGGACCCCTCCTCAGGAAGCGGGCAAGCAAGACTCGGCGAGTTCACCGAGAGCCTCACGAGGCGGCCTCCCGAGGCACCCCCTGAGGCATGCGAGGCGAGTGATGTTCAGCCCGGTCGCGCGGTCCCATGCCCATCACGTGGGTGACGCGCCCGGCGTCGAACGACGGCAGAGGCCGCGCCAGCAGGTGCGGATGAAGAGGATTTCCCCTTCTGTGTTAAGGGAGCAAGGCCAGCAATCCAGTTCCAAAAGCAACCCCCAAAGGTTGCCTGATTGGTAAAAGAAGACGAAGACAGCGGGCGTGCAAGGCGGAGGTCATTCCCGAGCCTACCGCCGCATCATGGACGATAGCTTTGTAGGCGGAGACCACCTTTTGCCTGTGCTTCTGTCCCCCTTCAAACTTGCCGTTGTGTGGCAACCCTTCTTGCAGAGTTTTCAAGGGAAGAGGACCAAGGTAGATATAAAAGGAGGGCAGGGTGCCGCTGTAGACAGGATCGACTCCTCCACCCCAAACCTTGTACCCTCTCTCACCATAGCAATCACAACCAAGCAGGAGTAGGGTTTTAAACCGCAAGGTGGCCTGAACCTGGGTAAATTGTTGTGCCACCGGTCTGCTCCCGTTAGTGCGCTCTTGCTGTAGCTTCGCCGTGGTTAGTTGTGGTAGAGGACGAAGTGTAGGAACGATCTCACCCCAGTGTTCGAACCTTTGGGTCCCCAGAGCCCAACTTTTGATATTTGGCGCGATGGGTAGGGGTGCGCTACTGTTCTTCCGCTCCGATATCCACCCGAGTGTAGGAACTAAAATATCCCTTGGCACTGAATCGATGGAAGGTACATATTCAAATGTCTGAATCTGTGGATCTGTAAAACAAGTTTGTTGTGCAAGACAACCATGTTCCCACTTGCCGATTCAGAATCATGTTTTTTTTTCGAAACGGAGGCAAAAGATTTGCCTCATTCATTAAATAAGAGAGAAGAGTTTTAGGGTGTTACAAGTGACCACACACACGGCATGGCAACTACTCGCGTACAATAATGGACCCCAGTTTTTTAGCACCCGCAAGAACCCAAAGCTTGGCGTCATCGATGATAGTACGGAGGAGGACCGGTGGTGGTGCACTCTTGCGACGGAAGACCCGAGCGTTACGCTCGTTCCAGATTGTCCAAGAAACCAACATTGTAAGGGAGGCCAAGGCTCGTCGATCTGGGTTTTGCAAGCTGGTTCGCTTGTCCCACCATTCCAAAACGGATCCATCCAAGTGCCAAGAAGAGGTGTCCATGTGAGCAAGACCGAATTCAAGGATGACCGAGTTCCATAGCCTAATAGTGTAGCGACATTTGAAGAAGAGGTGCGCGCCTGTCTCACCTTCAGTCCTGCAGAGTGGGCAAAGTCCACAGTTTTCCCATCCGTGCCGCTCTAATCTGTCGGCAGTCCAAATCCGGTCTTGGATAGCCAACCAAGCAAAGAATTTGATCTTGGGAGGGGCCCAAGCCTTCCAGATCATGAAGTCCATAGGCGATAGCGTCAAGCCGAGGAACTGTGCCTTGTATGCAGTGGCCGCCGAGCAGATCCCGTTATTGGCATGTTTCCAGATAATGTCATCGTCAGCTTGTGTGTCCAGGTGTAGATCATGCACCAACATCCATAACGTGAAGAACTGACGGATGTGGGCAATGGAAGCGACGATGTTATGGTTGATCTTAAGAATCCAAGCATTTCCATCGAGGGCTTCACGCACTTTCCAATTCTTACTCGTGGAGGCACCGTATATTAAAGGAGCAATGTCCTTCAGTTTCCGCCCAAGAAGCCATGGGGAGTCCCAAAAAGGTGTTTTGGCTCCATTGCCCAAAATGATGGTCGTTGAGGCATAGAAAAAGTCCATGTCGTCCTCCGTGCAGGGGTTCCCAAGCCCCACCCAAAGCTTGTTCGGTGCCTTCCATTCATACCAAAGCCATCTAAGACGTAAGGCCCGAGCAAACTTGTCAGTGTCTAGAACCCCAAGGCCTCCATACTCCTTGGGGCGACATACCACCTTCCAATTCACTTTACATTTGGCACCGGTCGTCTTATCTGAACCAGACCAGAGAAAGGCCCTCTCCAATTTGTTGATATTGTGAAGAGAGCGTGGTGGCACGATGAGGGGCGTGATGGCATACACTGCCTGGGAGGCAATGACTGATTTGACAAGTGTCGTGCGCCCGATGGTGGTGATGTTTTGCCCGTCCCAGGTGACAAGTTTGCCGGCCGCCTTGTCCTCAAGGTATTGGAAATCTACATACTTGAGCTGCCAGACCGAGAGTGGGAGTCCCAGGTATTTCATCGGGAAGGTGGCTCTGGACACTGGTACGCCACTGAGGACATGATCCAAGTCAACATTGGAGCACCGGATGGGCACAACCGAGCTTTTGTGAAAGTTGGTGCATAGACCTGTGACATCGCCGAAGCCCTTCAGAATGGTGGAGAGGTTGTCGATGTCACTCTTGATAGGGGCCATAAAAATGGCCGCGTCATCCGCGTATAAGGAAGTTCTCATCATAGCACCTCGTCCCCGAATCTTATGAAGGAGGCCCTTCCTCGTTGCCAAGTCAAGTATTTGGTGAAGAGGATCAATTGCAAGGACGAATAGCAATGGTGAGATCGAGTCCCCTTGCCAAAAACCGCGACCATGTTTGATGGGAGGTCCAGGCAGACCATTGAGCAGGAAACGTGAGGAAGAGGTGCAAAGTAGAGCGGCAATCCAATCCCGGAATTTGCAAGGGAAGCCCTTTCGTTGCAAGAGGTCGAGGATGAATTCCCATCTGACAGAGTCGAAGGCTTTCCTTATGTCCAGCTTGAAAAGAAGGGCGGGAGTCTTGCGTTTGTGAAGGCGTCGAGCAAAGTTCCGCACATACATGAAGTTGTCATGGATGCTTCTCTTTTTAATGAAGGCGCTTTGGGCGTTGGAGATGAGGGCATCCATATGAGGGGCGAGCCGCAAAGAGAGCACCTTACCAATGATTTTGGCGATGGCATGAATGAGGCTTATGGGCCTATAGTCAGAGATGCCCTCTGCACCGTCCTTTTTGGGCAAGAGCACAACGTTGGCGGAGTTCAACCATTGAAGGTTGGATGTGTGGAGGGAGTCAAAACGATGGATGACTCTCATGACATCATTTTTGACGACGTCCCAACATTTCTTGAAAAGGATGCCCGTGAACCCGTCCGGGCTGGGTGCCTTGTCACTTGGCATCACCTTAATGGCCTCCCAAACCTCCTCTTCGGTAATAGTGTCATCTAGGGTGTGCAGATCGACCGGCTGCATGCTGAGCTCCTCCCAATTGAAGTCAAGATGGCTCGTGTCTCCCTTCCCCATGAACACAGAGAAGTGGTCATGGATGATCTTTTCTTTTTCCCCATGGTCAGTAACCCATCCGTTCGCGAGTTTGATTCGGTGAATATGGTTCTTCCTTCTCCGACCAATTATACGACGATGGAAGAACTTTGTGTTTGCATCACCCTCTTTAAGGTTGGAAATCCGAGCGCATTGGCTCTTTCTGGCCCTCTGGAGCACAGCCAAGCTGATCACCCTACGTTTTAGCCTGGCACAGAGGTCGAGCTCCTCCGGCGAAAGGAGGCGCGCCTCCTGTGCAATGTCTAGCCTCAGGATCACGAGAAGGGCCGCATGGAAGTGAATATTGGCTGCTGAGAAAAGGCTTCTACTCCATGCCGTAAGACGAAGCGCGGTCTTCTTGAGCTTGTGATGCAGAATGAGATAAGGCTCCGTGTGTGGCATGCCCTCAGTCCAAGCCTTTTGAACGACTTCGTGGAAGCCCGGAAGGGAGGTCCAGAAATTCTCGAACTTGAAAGACCGCGGCCTTTTGGGCCCTTTGTCGTCAGCAAGCAAAAGGGGGCAATGGTCGGAGAGGGATGAGGACAAGGCGTGCAACACGTGGGTGTTGAAGGTGGTGTCCCACTCAGCATTGCAGAAGAATGAGTCAAGCTTGCATAGGGTGGGATTTGTCCTCTCATTGCTCCAGGTGAAGCGCCTATTCTGGAGATGGATCTCCTTGAGCTCGCAAGATTGCAAAGCGGCACGAAAGCGGTTGATTCTGCTGCGGTTAACATTGCGCTTGTTTTTGTCCCTGGCACGGTAAATTTGGTTGAAGTCGCCAGTGGCGAGCCAAGCCATGCCCAAGGGTGGCTTCTGGCTAAGCAGCTCCGCAAAGAAGGCATCTTTGGAGGCGTTGTCAGTGGGGCCATAGACAGACATGATTTTGAAGGAGGAGTCAGAAGCACGAATCTGCACCATGGCAGAGAGACAAAAGGTTGAGGTGGCGATGTCGGTAATCTCAAGAAGGTTGTCATCCCATAGCAGAAGAATTCCACCTCTGGTTCCGGAGGCCGGGCGTTGCGCGAAACCCTGAAGCCTATTTCCGCCAAGAGAAGCAGCAATGAAACTGTCAACGTTGCTCAATTTAGTCTCCTGGAGACAGACCAAGTGGCAAGAGGTGCTAGTGATGGTAGCCTTGACAGTTGCTCTACGGTCCGGGCAATTAAGCCCTCTCACGTTCCAGTTGAGGGTATTGATAGGTTGTACTGTCATGGGTGCACAGGGGTTGCCCTTGGACTACCATGGGATAAAACATCAACACAAACAAGGTGGGATCCCAGACCGCAGTACATGGCCCATGGCCAAATTTGAAAAACAAACACACACCCGTAGGGGACACAGCCCCAGTTACATAACCCATGGAGTGTAGGGAAGAGGTACAAACTAGACGCATACAAACTAGTAGCAGCAACAGAACCCTTGTAAGCATCAGATTGGTTTACTAACATGACAACCATTGAGGCTCTAACACAGGCACTACAGGTAGTATCCGCTCAAGCGATCGCCGGCTCCGATCCCTGGCCGTCTTGCTCCAGCCCCACAGAGTCTAATGCCGCAGCACCACCATGGTCTATCAGCGCATCCTCAACAGCGCTAATAGAACTGTCATCAAGCTTGAAGAAGTCCCTCATGGCCACAATCACTTCAGGAGGGAGCTGCTCCTTGAATCTCTCTGTGAACGCCTCCAGGATCGAAGCAGTTACATCTTGACCATCTTTGGTTATGCCCAGGCTGCGGCAAACCAGGCGCTCGGCCACCTTTGCCACCGGAGCAGCCGGCGTGCGGCTGGAAGGTCGCCGGGTCCGTTGCAGAGAGATGCCGCCCTCCTTGGAGATTCTCATGCCCGCCAAAGTCTTTCGACGGGCCGCTGGAGGGCTTGGCCTTGGAGATGCCAAGGGCACCTCAGGGGGAGGTTGCGTGGCTGCAGATGGCAGGAGCGCCGGCTGCCTTGGGCAGAAGAGCGTAGCCGGAAGCTCGAGGCAGGGCACAATGAGCTCAGCCAGGCCCGCCGGCAGGTCGTGCCCAGCATCATGGGGGCGAGCACGGGGTGGCGTAGGGGTTCGCTGCAGGTTGCCGTTGCACTGGAGTGGCGGGGTTGGGGATGCTTCAAAGCCTGGAGGCCGCAGCGGGGAGATGTTAAGGAGCGGGCGCTGCATCGTGGCTGGCGAACATAGCTCGATGAGCACCGGGCTCAGGACCTAGGATGCCACTGCTGCTGCATGTGCTTCGTCACGTTTCGGCGCTGGCGGGGTTCGGAGCACCGTTGTCGGAGACAGCGGTGGCGACGCTGGTGGAGTGCGTGCTTCCCTGGATATGTGCCTTGCAGAGGCCGGGCGCGACTGCCTGACCGGACTACGGCCACGCGCGCCAACAGCAGCCGTAGCATGTGATGATTGAACCTTAGTAATATAGAAGTCCCTCGCAGAAATGTGAAATGGTAAACAAGAGTTTGCACTAGATGATCTGAGCACAACAAACGTGCTTCGATAAAATGGAAGAGAAATAGGTATGATCGGCCTATGATTAATCAAGAATAGTAGCATAATAGAGAAGTAAAAGATTAAATTACCTGTCGAATTGCGAATTTAATGCATCAAACTCTGCTCGGAAAGATCCCATACTGGTAGTGCACAGAATACCCACAGTAGGTGAAGTAGCGAAGCAAAAAAATTACGTGAATATGAAGAGAATACAAAGCATTGGATGAAAGAAATGGCACAACAGTGATGATGTAGAAAAGGAAGAAGAGTTCGTACAGACTGAAAATACAGAGACAGAAGGAAGGAGATCTGGAGATGAACAGGAAGCAAAGAAGTAAACATATAAGATCCAGCTGTAGTCAAAGAGGGAATAGTAGAATAGTACGTACACACGAATATGTACAAGACCGACATGTATAATGGACCGTATTATGATGTATTCATAGCGTATATAGTTACAAGTGGGTTTTCATGATTTTATAGTACTAAAGTGCACAAATCACAGGGCGAACAGACACACCTCGTCAGCCACGTAAGTGCGTGCCCCACTCGTGGTACTGGTAAAAGGATACAACAAAGGAATCTTTGCCATTATGGGAGTGAATAGCATAAAATTATCACTTTTCAAGTTAGGGTTCCAAAAAACTACCGAAAATTTATTTTCGATCCAAATCGGGGTCAATTATTTCAAAAAACCCAAATGGCCAGATGTTTTACGATTAATCACGATTATGACAAGTCGGGCCCACACCTAAATGAACCGTTTGTTTGACCGTTAACTTACATGTGGGGTCCACGTGTTAGTGCCTCTTCCGCATTTTCTCCTCCTCCTCCCTTCCTTCCTTCTTCTCCTCTCTCCCTGCGCCCGTGCCGGAGAGAGAACCGTCGCGAGGCCATGGCCAGGAGCCACACTGGTGGCCCATGACGCCATCTGATGCCACATCAGCTGTCTTCTTCCGTGCTTCTTCCTAGTCATCATCGCCGGCTACCGTCGCCTCAGCTTCGCCAGCCAACGCAACCTTCTGGATCAGCCGCCGCCGCCACCAACACCACCTCCTGGATCTCCAGCACACACGCAGGCGGGTGCGGGCTGCTGGTTCTGTCGCGCCGGTGGCGGAGGTCAGCGGTTGCGGGCGTGGGCGCGGGCTGCTAGTGTTGTCTGCGACGCCGGTGGCGACTTGCCTTGCGCCACCCAAATGACAAACAAATTTTTGGTAGTTTTTTAAAATCTAAATACAAAAAATAGTATTTTTATGCTATTCACTCCGGCTATGGGCATGCATGGTACAGATATGCATAGCACTAGAGGCGGTGCACAGAAGCAAATTTTCGCACCCCGCGACCACTTCACCAACGATTGATAGTCCTAAAAACCTCCATCGTCCACGTACAACCTCTGCGTACGTGCACTCTCTGTCATCCATTGAGCAACTTGATTATAGGACCGTAGCATGGCACAACCAACTCATGGCATTACAGAATTGATAAAATTTCTTAGAAAGCGTGCTGGCATTACACACATGGGCGGAGCTGGGCCCCAGGCAGCCCAGGCCGTTGCCTGGGGCGTGGGAAATTTTCTCAGTCCATATATACAAAAAAACACTGTTCGGCCTGGGGCGCAGCCCACTTCTTAGCCCAGGCAGCCTGGGCCAACTGGCCCATCCACCCAGGTCAGTGCCTTTTCCTGCGCGTGCGTGTGCTACTCACGAGGGTTTGGACGAATCTGTCCGCCGCCCCTTCCCCCAACTTGACGAACCTAGGCGAGGCCGGTGGCCACGTCCCTGCCCGTCGGCGCCGCCCGCCACCCCGCCGCCGGCTGTCGTCATGCTACCCATCCAGCCGCCCCCAATCCCCTTCTGCGCCTCTGCCTATACACCTATCCAACCGCCCGCCCCCAGTCCCCTTCTGCGCCGTTGTGGGCTGCCGACTTGTCCGGCGAGGCGGTGGCCCCGGCGAACTGCCGGCAAGGTGGCCGAGGTGGCCCTTCCTTGGAGGCGCCTTTTTCTCAACAGCCGCGTCACAGAGCAACTGGACAGCAGCAAGGCAGCAAGAGGAAAGCGCAAATGGTCGTATCTCTTCCAATTTCCAAACCTCAATTTTTGTTTGTAGATGCCACTATTGCTAGATGATGATTTTTGTCATTTGCTAGATTAAACCGTTGCTGCTAGAGGCCAATGTTTGTTAGATACTTAGATGCGAAAATAAAATTTGACATTTAGTAATTTTGCGGAAATCCCTTTTGGAACTCGGGCTCCAGTGAGGCCTCCAGATTCAGATTTGAAATTTCGTTGAAATTTGTATGTTTACATCTCAAAAAATTCTGAAAAAAATCACAGATATACATGAAAGCATAATACACATGTGTGTAAATTTTCAGTTCAAAATACATTGAAATGAGGGCTGTGCAAAAAGACAAATATGGGGCTGTTTAACACATGATACTATTCATCCTCCCATGCCATGGATTTGTCTATTTTGTACATGTCGCAACTCAAGGTATTTCATCATGAATTTTTACACGCATGTGAGTTACATCCTTACATACACGCATATTTTTTCAGAATTTTTTGAACCATAAAAGTTTGAATTTGAATTTTTAAAAAATAAAGGCCTTCATGGAGCTCGGCCTCCAAAACGCCTTTCTCGTAATTTTGTTCCTATATTACTGCTAGAGGCCATTGAATATCATGTTTGTTAGTAATTTTGTTGCAACATAGATTGACTTTTGTATGCCTTCAAACTGAATTTTTTTGGTAGTTTTTAGCCTTTGGTTTCTCGCCTGGGGCGCTAGCAAATCCTGGCTCCGCCACTGATTACACACCACGTTAACGGTCGGCTGAAAATGTATCAGGCCTTGGGTTCGCAAGCTCAAACATCTTAACATAGCAAACCACCCCCTCCCTGTAAACGTCCGTGGTAAAATGTCCGCTTCCATAACTGGATACCAAATCCATACAACCACATGCATCTATATTATCCCACACATAGCATCCGACTACTACATCAATACATGCCATCGGCCTACCAAAAATTGGCATGTCCTATCTTTGTCACGGTGCTTGAAGACGCAAAATGGTTCAAGGCAAATCTGCTCATCGTCGGAGCTACCCGACCAGTCATTGTCCTCATTCTCCTCT